CCCCAAAACCCCAAAACCCCATGCTTGGAAAATTTTACTTATTCATTAATGAAATAAACTAATTGATTTACTTGTATATTATCCTATTAATTAAGTGAATTCATTCATAGCCAATTCTTTGGAATGTTTACTGAATTTTAGACTCAAGGCCAATTTAACTCCTGCCTCTTTTTTTCTTATCAGGTCTCTACTTATCTTATTTCTACTTGGTATCTCCAAGCAGGAAGTCCTGAACTTTATAGGGCTTTATGTCCATTTTTAATTCAATCATCTCATCAGCTTAAGTTGAGACTTAATTTTTCTGATAGTTTATCTTTCTCCTCTTTTACTTTTGAACAGTAGAATCGTTTGACATCATAAGATTAAAGAGCATTTGCTATCTTTGTTCTTGCTATTGCATTTCCTCAAGTTTAAAACTCTCCATGCGGGCATCCTCAAGATAACCCTAGGAATATTCATTCATTCCCGGATTAATCGGATCGTGGTTGACTGGTCTTAATGACATTAATTCATCCTTAACATCGCAATCTTGACTCAGCAATGGTTAGATATAATCTAGCATTTTATCATTTAGATCCAGATGCTCAGAAAAACTTCTTCTTGAAGGTTGAGATTGAGATCTTCTAGACCTTTTTGGTGACAACTAGATAAAAGCATCTTTGAAAGTCTTGACATTATCTGATATCAGGCATTGCACGCTCTAATTTTATTTCCTCTGCATATATGGTGATTTAAGGAGATAATCTGGTTAAATTTGACTAGACTCAATTGCAATAAACTTTTTATCAAGCTCAAATCTTTTCATGGAGTCTTCAAGACTAGTAACTCTTTAAATTAGACTTAGGTAGTTATCCTCAGGTAAGTTCTCATAAAGCAATTTCAATTCATCTTAATCTTCCGTCAATTCATTGATGTAGTTTACATTTTTAACCCAATCCTAGGCTAGTTATGATACTAAAATCTGCAATTCATCTCTACTCTTCTTCATTCTATAGTAATGATTTTGCACATCATCTGAGACAAAGTGATTCTGATTGATTCTTAGTAATGTCTAATTTGGGTTGCTTGCCTAATTTTGAGTAACTCTGAATGGTTAAACATTGCTATGAATAATCTAGGTCTCATATTGCTTGTTGTCGCTTGAGGTCTTGACATTAGTTGAGAGTTATTGCAAATTGTCACCTGAGTACCAGCTGCCATCACTGTTCTTCTTATTTTTTGCATATTGTACTTATATCGGAGTTGTCAAAATATCTTAGTTTTTTTGCTAGGTTGGGGAGTTATATTGCTGAGCATTAACTTGGGGGAAAAGCTTTGCGAGCCTACCGTATTCAGAGTAAGGCCTCTTATTTGGATTTTATTGATGAGGTGTATGAGTGAAATTTTACTAATTGTAAGCGTTCATTTCTAAACTTTATAATTGGCTTATTATTCTAATTAAACGACTATATATGTGCTTCTAAATACTTGCTTTAACATCTGATATTAATGAAATTTTATCAATAATTGTTTACTTAATATAGGGATCACGGGGTTTTGGGGTTTTGGGGTTTTGGGG